ATTTCTATCTTTATCCCATCAATCCCGGCTGCCTTACTTCCTTTCTTTACTATGCCTCACGAACTTCCTCACACTCACAATGGCTCTTCCTCACTCCTACAAGAATGTTGTTCTCTTGCCTTTACACGGAATCACAGCCTTCCCTATATCATAAACATTTACAATTCCTCAAAATATTCCCTCCATCTTCCAATACCTTAACTCTCCATTGTAATAATCTCTCTCTCCTATTTATAACTGACAAATCATTTGTTCTCTAGGCTTTCTTAAATTGTTAATCTCACTCCAAAAACTTTTTTTTATTTTGAAACAATTTGTTGATAACATCTCACCCACTCTCTCATTTGCTCCTCTTTTTACATTGCTTCACCACTCTCTTAAACTTCTCTTTTTTCATATACTCTCCTCCTTGCATCACTTCGACTTTGTAAAATTTTCATATGCTAACTTTTTCTCCCTACTACTCTCTTCACATCATCATTCCCCCAATCGCTACTATTCCCTCTCGCACCCACTTTCCTGTAACCACAAAACTTCTGCGGAAACACCTCCAACACTTACATTTTTAGACCTATACCCCTTTACATCTTCGACCCCATGGCCTATTCTATCATTAGCCCATCTATCCTCCAATAGCTGTTTATGTCTTACCATAACTGCCTTACTCTTTAGTTTATAAAACCTTCACCTCTCTCTTCCCTGATGTGCTTTATTCTCCTTTGTATCCCATCTACCTTTTACTCTCCGTTGTGCTACAACTAGAATGTATTGATATATCTGTGGCTCTCTATAAACATGTACATCCTGAAGGTTACTCAAACAGTCTTTTATCTTCCAATACATAATCCAACAAACTACTGTCATTTCGCCTGCATATATCTTGTATACTTTTTTATCCTCTTTTCTTAAAATATGTATTACCTATAACTAAACCACTTTCTAGACAAAGTTCAATCAATGGGCTCCATTATCATTTACACATGGCATCCCAAACTTCCTACCACTCCCTCTCTAAAGTTTCTCCTACTTTAGCATTCGGTCCCCTACACACAATTTCTCTCTCAAATTGGTGCAATGGCTCCTATACTTTTCACTTAACATCTCCCAAAATCTTCTCTCTCTCCTCGCAGTCCTTCTTCTCAGGTTGCAACACGCTTATTAGGACCCTCTTCTCTCAATCCACCCTTTACTTTAAATCCCACATAATTCTTGAATTTACACATTCATATTCACTTTTATCATTCCATAACTGTCAGTCAACATTACTGCTACCCTTCCTTTGCTCTGACTCTTCAGAACTCCAGATTTATCCCATTTATTTCCCCCACGAAATCCCTACCCCCTTCAGCTTTGTTTTCGCGTGGCCAGGACATCCAACTTCTTTTCACTTCATAACATCGTCAATTCATCTGTTTATTGTCTTCCGCACTACATCCACGCACATAAAGCATCCATGTTTTATATAGTTTTCTTCTTCTCCTTTTTAGTAAATGTCTTCAGAAAGGGGTTACTAGCCATTGCTCCCGGCATTTTAGTAGCCTCATACGACACACTTGGCTCACGGTGGAAAGATTCTTTTCCACTTCCCATGGAACAATAGAAGAAATAAGAGGAACAGGATATATTAGAAAGGAAAAACCTAGATGTTGATATATAAATATGCTGTGGCGTGTCTGTGAAGTGTGACCAAATTGTAAAGTAGGAGTAGCAGATCTATATATATATATTATATATATTTAAATATATATATATATATATATATATATTATATATATATATATTATAATATTATATTATATATATATAATATATACATATATATTAGAATATATATATATATTATATTATATTATAGTATTATCTATATATCTCATACATATTTATATATATATATATATATATATATATAAATTATATATATACATATATTATATATATATATAATTTATATATATATATTATATTATATATATAAATTTATATATATATTTATTTTATTTTATGACCAAAACAACCACTGTGAAAGAATAGAGAAATTCAGCGCTTTCGTGACTACTCACATTATCCAAGAACAAACATTTTCATTGAGTCTGAGTAGTCACGAAATAGCGCTCGGAATTTCTCTATTCTTTCACAGTGGGTGTTTTGCATATCTGAAATCACTCTTTACTGTGATCTTATTGCAAAGATAATATATATATATATATATATATATATATATATATATATATATATATCTATATTATATATATATATATATATATATATATAGATGTATATATATATATAATTATATATATATATATATATATATCTATATATATTATACCCATATATATATATTATATATATATATATATAATATATATATATATACAGTACATTTGTATTTCTGTAGCATTGCATATGAGGGATAATTTGTCAGTTATTGATTGTCAAAGATCTTATGTTTCAGCATTATTATTTATGAAGAGTGATGGGATCTGTGTATTTTTTGTTTACCATCAGTGGGCGCCACAGAGAGTGAGTTCACAAGGTCTGTCTGAGCCGTGTGATGGGCAGGTCATCCATACCCGAGGGTTGTGAGACCTCGGGCAGCAGGACCGCCCCATCCTCACTGGACATCATACGGACCAGACCGTCTTGAAGAGGTCCTCGCCACTCAGGTTTGTATTAACCCCGTGTGGCCTCGATCCTCCGTCACTGATTGGTCAGGTTATTTGTGATTGCTTCTACTCTCTCAGGCTGGTATGAACCCCATGTGTGTGTGTGTGTGTGTGTGGTGTGTGTGTGTGTGTGTGTGTGTGTGTGTATGTGTGTGTGTGTGTGTGTGTGTGTATGTTGTGTGTGTGTGAGTGTGTATGTGTGTTTGTGTGTGTGTGTGTGTGTGTGTGTGTGTGTGTGTGTGTGTGTGTGTATGTGTGTGTGTGTGTGTGTGGTATATATGTTGTGTGTGTGTGGTGTGTGTTGTGAGTGTGTGTGTGTGGGGTGCGTATGTGTGTGTGTGTGTGTGTGTGTACTCACCTAATTGTGTTGCAGGGTCGAGACTCAGCTCCTGGCCCCGTGTGTGTGTGTGTGTGTGTGTGTGTGTGTGGAAGTGTGGTGTGTGTGGGATGTGTGTGTGTGGGGTGTGTGTGTGTATGTGTGTGTGGGGGGTGGGGGTGTTTTTTGTGTGTATGTGTGTTGGTGTGTGGGTGTGTGTGTTTGGGGTTGTGTGTGTGTGTGTGTGTGTTTTTGTGTGTGTGTTGGGGTATGTGTGTGTGTGTGTGTGTGTTGTGTGTGTGTGTGTGTGTGGTGTGTTGTGGTGTGTCCTACAGAGTAATGAACAGAAGAGGCTCGATTATAGAACCCTGATCAACCAGGCTTTTTGTGATTGCTATTTACCACTTATTTTTGTTTCATATATGACGAGAAGCTTAACACTTGTGGGAACGAGGATAAATGAACACCGAGAGGCGTGTCCCAGTGTATATACACTCAGCACATATTTAAAATCTCGAATGGTCAACTGGCTTTAAACCTTGTTAATCAACCAATCAACGAAGTAACCATTCAAAGTAAGGAGCGATGAAGGCTGGGTCCTATGTCTCTGATCGGCCAGGCTAACTGTGATCGCCACTCAGATAAGGTCATGTGAAGACACTAGGACGAATATCAAAAAGATATTTAGTATTCCAAACGGCTGTATCCTGAAGGTGCTGCATCCTCCTGAAGGAACTGCGTCATCCTGAAGGTGCTGCATCCTCCTGAAGGAACTGCGTCATTCTGAAGGTGCTGCATCCTCCTGAAGGAACTGCGTCATTCTGAAGGTGCTGCATCCTCCTGAAGGAACTGCGTCATTCTGAAGGTGCTGCATCCTCCTGAAGGAACTGCGTCATTCTGAAGGTGCTGCGTTCTGCTGAAGGTGCTGCGTCCTGAAGGTGCTGCGTCCTGAAGGTGCTGCGTCCTACTAAAGGTGTAGCGTCCTCCTGAAGGCGCCGCATCGTCCTGAAGGAGCAGACTCTTGTAGTAAAGATGATGTGGTGGGCTGACGCTAGTGAAGGGCTTTCAGTCCGGTATTTTGGAGCCACTCTTCCTTTCGTTGGATCAAACTTTATTGCCTCCAATTCCCCAAGCATTGTATGATCGATACGGGCTTATCGCTTCTTGAAATAAAAAATGCCATAAAATAATAATATACCAATAATAATAATAATAATAATAATAATAACAATAATAATAATAATAATAATAATAATAATAATAATAATAATAATAATAATAATAATAATAATAATAATAATATTGATAATAATAAGAAAAAATAATAGTAATAATAAGTCAAGCAGATGATATTTTCTATCACACAGGTAAATCTTTATGTAACTAAAAAATCAAACAGGAAATTCAAAATGATTACATTTATGTGAAGTGAAGGCTCGATCCTCCGTCTGGTAATCTGCGAGACAGACCAAAAGTTCCACTTATCGACCCCTCTTAGCAATCTTCAAAGTGATTTGGTATTCCAGACAGCTGAGACCTAATGAAGGTATGGACGATGATAAAGAATTATTTGTAAAATTTTAGAGGGGCAACAGAGAAGTTGGTTCTTACCGTTGGTGCCACGAGAAGTTGGTTCTTACCGTTGGTGCCACGAGAAGTTGGTTCTTACCGTTGGTGCCACGAGAAGGTGGTTCTTACCGTTGGTGCCACGAGAAAGAGGGCCTAACCATTGGTACTACAAGAAAGATACCCTTACTGTTGGTACTACGAGAAGGAGGGCCTTACTGTTACCTTACCATTGGTGCCACGAGAAAGGGGCTCTTACCGTTGGGGCCACTAGAAAGGGGCTCTTACTGCTGGTGCTACTGGAAAGGGGCCCTTACCACGCAAGTTTCCGGCGAGCACAAAGGAGAAAGTGGGTTTGAGGAGACACAGTAAAACGCGCTGAAGGTGATTTAGTGACCTAATCGTCTTGGAAGCTGCAAAGTCAGGGAAGGGAGCCTCTTCACGGCAGTTTAATGACGTCGGCCGCCTGCAAGAAGGCCTCACTAGGCAGGTCAGTCATCACCTGCCGCAGGGAATGGGTGCTTTCTCAAGGGTTTAGTGTTGGCCAAACCATCCAGGTCCTAGCGAAGCCTCGGGAGAAGATGAGATTCATAATTTACTGCTTGGGAGGTTACTTCTGCATGCAGGTTAGTCAGCACATGCCTGAAGGGGCTTCCGCAGGTTATCCTTACAGAACACATGTCTTGACGCATGTTTTGACTCGTACTTTGGCGTGTGCCTGAAGGATATTCAGGCTATCCGGTAGGTCGTTTGCTCTGACGCATGTCTGTAAAAGTACGCAGGCTTCTCTCAGCGGACAGGCCTGACGCATGCCTGAAAGATTACGCAGGTTACCCTGAGAGGAGGTATGTCTTGACGCATGCGTTACACCCCGAGTAATAATAATAGCAACAACAATAATAATTACCTTCATGATGCACCCCTTAAAGGGAAAGATCTGTAGAATTACCTATTGACTTACATATTATAGAAATAGCGAAGCTAAGAAGATGTTGAGGTAAATAACTAGAAAAAAAACTGAAGACTCACACGAAGTAAATAATAGCTTCTCTGACAGAGTAAGGAGGCGGGGAATTAGCTCCTGAACGATATATTGACTTAATCATCTTGAAAATGGCGAAGGCAGGGAGGAGTTAGTTCATAATTAGACCATCTGGATACCCTCGCCAATTTTCTGCTCACCACAGGTAAGTTGCCACCTGCCCTGACCTAGGGAAGGTGCCAGGTTCCTGCTCGCCACAGGTGAGTTGCTACCTGCCGTTACCTAGGGAAGGTGCAAAGTACCTGCTTAACCACACTTGAGTTGGCACCTGCCTTGACCTATGAAAGGTGCCAGGTTCCTGCTAGCCACAGGTGACTTGGCACCTGCCCTGACTTAGGGGAGGAAGCCTCGCAGGTTATCTCATCTCAAAGATGAGTTACCAGCTTGGCTTTATGACTAAGACACCTGCGCAACACTTGGGTATCTTCGTTGTCGAGACGATTCGCCACCCAGTGGCTTTATCAGTCCAGTGCAGAGAGTAATACTGAACTAACGAAATCGTACCTGGCTAACACTTCGGTCTGGAGTTTTATGTCTCTCTGATCGCGGGCTCTATCTTCTCCCGTGGTATGGTTTGAGTAAAATGAAGATTGTCAACATGAAGTAGTAGTAGTTTGAGGGGATCAGTCCCTCAGCCTTTGATGGATTTGTTGGAAATGGTGGAAGACATTTGAGGTGATCAATTACCGAGACATGATGAATCTACTGGAGACTATAAACGACGTAAATAAGCAGTTTGACAGTGGAAGACGTGAATAAGTAGTAGTTTGAGGTAATCAGTCCCTCAGCCTTAAAAGGTGTTCAGTCTCACCCTGACCTAGGAAAGGAAGAGTAAGCCTCGACGGTCATCTTGGAAAGCTTTATTGACCTAATCATATTAAAACCAACCAAGTCTGGAAGCTAGACGTGAGCCACCTCTCGGCTGGAGAATTTTCAAAAGACGAACTCGGATGTGTTGCAGATTTTTTTTAAGGGCTGGTGAGGCTCCAGACAGCCTCGATACCCTTCTTTACCTGCTAAGATATTACCTATGATGAGAAACATACCAGGTTTAAGAACAAGTTTTTTTTCTGGGACAGATTTTTACTTTCTCAATTCATAACTTGATAAAGAGCGAAACGTTATTGTAAGAAAAAGGATGTTTCGCCCACTTGTCAGAAATACATTCTTTTATTTTTTACAGTTTTGACGTCAACAAAGTTATCGTTAGTGACGCTGACGTAACTATAATGATTTAATGTTAAAACAACTATAATTTTCAACGGTAACACATTCATCATTTTTTGACATCGTCACCAGGATTACCTCTCATTTTGCCACAACTGTTATTGCTGACGTCAAGAACAATAATCTCTGACGCTGAGCTAAGTGTCATCATGAACGCTGATGTAACTGTCATTCACAATTATAGACGCTAACACAATTCTCATTCATGGTTTTTGGCACAACTATTATTTTCTTTTTCCACAAGGTATGTCTCCATGGTCTTGAACCTGTCTTCCGTATCAGTTATATAAGACTCGAGACTTCCATCAGAAGCCTCCGAATCGAATGGAGTAAATCGTCATTCCCAGCTTCCCGCGTAATAAAGGTGAAAGGTGGGCAAACAGAGGAGGTGCTGGAAGAGGATCAGATACCTTGGGCAGGAGTGTTTGATGGTGTTGGGGGATGGGGACCGGAAGATAGAGATGAGAAGCCCAGGGATGCGTATTTGGTGCAATTGACCCAAGTGAATGTTGATGCTAATATCGTCGGGGCGGGTTTTCTCATCTCTCCGGCTTGGCCCTGCAGGGAAGACTTGTATTGTTATGTATTTAGCAACGGCACTCTTGTGTAGGATCGTGATACACACACACACACACACACACACACACACCACACACACACACACACACACACACACACACACATTGCAGGTTTGTGATGTCAACATGATACACTCACAGGCAGACGTCAGAGTCTGCGATAAAGTTTGAGCTTGTCAAACATCAGCCACTCAAGATTTGCCACTCTTGCTCGCGTGCTTCTCTATTAGTCTCCCCTTTTTTAGTCATATCATAACCCATATCAGGTTACCGTTTTCAGGTTAATAAAAATGATAATAATAATAATAATCAAAATAATAATAATAATAATAATAATAATAATAATAATAATAATAATAATAATAATAATAATAATAATAATAATAATAATAAAATTAATAATAATAATAATAAAAATAATAATAAAATTAATAATAGTAGTATTAGAAGTAGCAGTAGTAGCAACAGTAGTAGTAGCATTACTTACTACTACTACTACTACAATCACGAGGTATAGAAATCCCTCTCTTCTATCCTTCTATCCCTTACTAAAGCCTACATCTAGATTTTAAAACGTTCTCCTGTATATGGCTAATTTCTAGGTTATCTTAAGAACACCATACCAACACTTCTATCAGTTCTAGCTATCACACTCGCGTGATACACAGAGTACTCAATTAGGAATCACCAGCCCAATACATTGGACGCAGCGTGTGTGTGTGTGTGTGTGTATTTAGGAAGCTTCTTCGAGTCGAGCTGCTGTATTGAATGAGCTAATTGCTTGCACTGAAATCTTGTCTGTCTGTTTGGTGTTTATGCGTTTGATAGCACGTCTGTCATCTAGTAGTCTGTTTTGTCTGCATGTGAGGTACATGCTTATGTCTGTACGTCTGAGGATCACAGGAGAATCTGTATACCCTCCTTCACTTTCTCATTCTCTCCCTCATTCCCTCCATCACGCTCTCCCTCACATTCACCCCTCATTTTCTCTCTCCTTCACACATTCCCTCACACTAGCCTCTCCTGCCTCATAGGACATCTCTCATACACACAAAAACTGTAAATTCATATTAATTCTCAGTAATAATTGAGAAATACCTCAACACACCTTCGATCAGAATGGTGCAGGATAGACGTTTCGGTCTATCCTGCACCATTTCGGTCAATCCTGTACCATTATCACGCTACTAAGGTCCAAGACGGATCGAAACATTGTCTATAGTTTCGTCTGTCGTGTGAGATGCTAGTGAATTTTTCCACTCACGGATATATGACTTTTGTTCTGTATTACCCTTGCAGGTTTAACGCTTCTTTAAGATTATAAGATAATAATGTGAATTTCATTGTTCAATATGAATTATTCCAAACACGGTATTGTGACTATTATCGCTCATTTTCAAGAATTATCAGCCGAATTTCAACTCCTGCAATCAGCTCCGGAATTATGATGATTCTGATAATCATCGGACATGAGAATGATATACTTTCCTTGTCTCATTGGTCATTATATTTTTTCATGGGGGTTCTTGTTTTCCTAATGTAATGGGGGTCATTGTAAGGTCATTACTGTCGTCACTGCCACTCGCACCTAAGGAATAGCCAGTCAATAAAAAGCATGGAATATAATTTCGAAAATGTTAATGATAATCGTGGTAATTACTGAGATAATAATAATAATAATAATAATAATATATAATTAATAGTAATAATAATAATATATAATTAATAATAAATAATAATAATAATATATAATTAATAATAATAATAATAATATATAATTAATAATAATAATTATTATTATTATTATTATTATTATTATTATTGTTATTCTTGTTGTTGTTGTTTTGTTGTTGTTGTTGTTATATAATGTGCCATAATATAATTATAATACAATAATGAAAATCGTAGAAAAAATATAAAAATGATAATGGTATAATAATATAAATAATAAAAATAAGGCAATAAATAATATTACTTTTGCTGCTACTACTACTACTACTACTACTACTACTACTACTAATAATAATAATAATAATAATAATAATAATAATAATAATAATAATAATAATAGAAACGTAAGCTCCCCACCAACATAAATGATTTTCGCTTATTTCCTAGTACGGGTAGAGAAAATAAAATGCAGTCGAGGAAGATGGGTGACTCCCAGAGAAGGTTCGGAATATTTCTAAGGGAGAGACGACCATGGAAATCAGAAGTGTCCTGGCAAGTGCAAATTACCGGCCTTGGGGTAGCAGCGAGTTTATTGAAGGAGGTAAAGCAATCAAGGGGCATGAAGTAGACCACACACACACACACACACACACACACACACACACACACACACACACACACACACACACACACACACACTACAGAAGGGATGGAAGGATACAGACTAGTATGTATATGGTTAAGCCTCACGGTTAAAAAAAAAAAAGTCACTGTATTCTCGATGCTAAAATTGACATAAACCTAACAAGAGGAAAACTTGAGCAGAATTTTCCCCATAAACGACATTTAGAAGTTTAGCCGAGGTTCTGGTGCACTGTTTCAAATGAAGAATATAAAAGTCAAAATACTGTAACTAGAACACTTCACCATAAGCCCTGAATTAGGAGAGAAACCTTACGACGACGTTTCGATCCTTCCTAGACCATTGTAAATTTATATCTGGGAGAGAAAAGTAGAGAAGGCCTGGCTGGGGACGGTGGGGGAGGAGTTATTATTTGTCAATTGTTTTATCTACATCATAATGATGCTTTTATTTCTTCAAATCAAGTTTGAGAAAAATAATTTGGTTCCCATTCTATTACACGGAGCCCTAAACCCATGTGGGTCATTACTTGCAACGAGTCGAGCAGGTTCGATTACACATGAACACAAAAATACTTATAAATGCATGAACACACGAATACACACATACATATAAAACACACAAATACTCATATGCATACATATAAACACACAAATACTCATATGCATACACATAAACACACAAATACTCATATACATACACAAACACACAGTAACTCATATTAATACACATAAAACATGCAAATACACAATTACACAGAAACACAGATATACACACGCACATTCATATCTGAAAGCCTAAACACATTCTGACGAAACAACTGACAAACGTACTTAGTAAACTTTCAGCAAACATTAATAACATAGTTAGCAAGGCGCAATAATACCATAATTAATTACCAACTGTACGCAGGTTCGATTCCCCGTCATCTCATGCATGCCTCCTACGACTTAACCAAAACTTTACGCCATTGAGGCTTCTGTTCGAGAACTTTGCCTATTAATCACACTTCAAAAGTAACGTGAGAAAATGTGGTTCTGAAATGAGAAAGAGAGAGAGAGAGAGAGAGAGAGAGAGAGAGAGAGAGAGACGGACAGACAGAGGCAGACAGACACAGTGACAGGCAGACAGAGAGACAGACAGATAATCAACCAAAGACACAGAAACAGAAGTAAGTGGGAAATCGAAATTTTCCCCCAAATTCGTTGAAACTTCAAATAAAAAAAATCATTTAATATAAAAGAAATGCAGCTTAAAGAGCACGTAGGAAACATGTTTTCAATATCAATGCTTAATAATATTAAGGAAAAGCTACATCAGTTCCATTGTTTATATGCAAATGGTTAATAAAATTTCAAACGCGTCAGAAAACGCCTCATTATTTCCTGAAACGTCGCATTATGCAATAAAACGCAAGTTATCTCTTGTTCTTCTATATTCGGTAATATTTCACTAAACTTTTTAAACCAAAGTTTTAACAGATTTGTCGACGGCATAAACAATAAACAATCACAACAGACATGTTTATTTTTCTCACAGCTGTCAAGTTAATGTTTAAAAAATCATGGGTAGGAAACACCAATAATCTCAGTGCTGCCAACGTAATGTTTAAAGCCTCATGGGCGGGAAACGTCAATAATATCAGAGCTGCCAACGTAATGTTTACGAAATGATGGCCAGAAAATACTGATAATCTGCCATTGTTCAGTGACAGATATTTTGCAAATAGAATAATCAGTCATATTGTATATAATATATATATATTATATATATATATATATATATATATTATAATATATATATATATATATATATATATATATATAATATATATATATAATATGCAAGGAATTCGCAAGAGCAGGCGAAATATACACAAACACTGATCTCTGAATGAAGGAGACTCGAACCTAGGCTGTAAGCCATCTCCCTGAAAGCTGGCTGCATTGAATCAACGTCTAGCGCAAGCTGGACGGCAAGGTATTGGTCCAGTGTGGTGAGAATGGTAATGCGCAGCGTACCTTGTTCCAAGGTTCGTAGGCTCGAGTCTCCTTCAGCCAGAGATTAGTGTTTATATATATATATATAAATATATATATATATATTTGTATATATATATATATATATATATATATATATATATATATAATATATATATATATAATATATATATATATATTTACAATTATTTCATTATTATTAAAATTATGTATAAATATATTATTGTCTAATAATAGGAAGTTGTGCAGAACAAATGAATTTATTGAGTAATAAATTTAATTCTTGTATAATTAATGTAATTAAATATCTTGTGTAATTAGTGCAATTAATTAGTGTAATTGATAAGTGTAATTAATTAGTGAAATTATTAATATAATTTAAAGGTAATTTTAGACAAGTTCAAACATCAGAGTCTTAACTAAAATAAATAAATTCGTAAAAGCAGAGAAAAAAAATTGAAATGCAGTTATATATATATATATATATATATATATATATATATATATATTATATATATATATATATATATAATATATATATATATATATATATATATATATTCTTGTGACATCCAAAATTTTGAACGCATATGCAATATAAAAACAATTT